CATCCCAGCGTCAAAACATACCTAACCAGCATATGCTGTTTTTTTCAACAGGGAACCCAAAAAAGCTTGTAAACACAGATATTGTACCGCACTCTCGGTCTCTCAATTCTTTTTTATTGTAATATTCCCATTTATATTCTCATTCTCCCATAGTTGCATAACAACAAATGCTTTCTTTTTGCTATATTATTTTCATTGTCCAATTCTCTCCTTCCATATTCATACTGGTCAACAGATATGGGTTTATTAATGGCCGATGACAATCAAAAACAAAGGAACATTCAGTTATGATGTATATTCCAAAAATACACTTTTGTTCTCTACACTCACATTCTGCCATTCTCATAATGCGTTTCCATGACCCAAAATTCTGATTAAAACAGACCAAATGATGCTATTCTGATTTATAAAACCAAAATGTGGCCTTATCTGGATATGGAAATCTGGTTAATGCATATGACATTTAAATAACCAAAATATGACCCAAAAAAGCTTTTAAAGACAGTTAGCTATTTTTACTCTGTCTTTTAATCACACATTCCTATGTATATTCTCATTCATCCATACTTTGAATACTGTCTTTTTCATCTACTTGCATACTCAAAATATTCAAAATTTCCCTTCATCGCATGATCCATATGCTTCATACTTAAATACCTCCAGAACTTCATATTTTCAAACAGGAGCGATTTCAAAAGTAGGGTGACACATTAATAAGTGGATTAAATTATAGGGGGCGATAATTATTATTTCGCTGCTGTTCTTATAATCTGACTTTACGACTCACTGACTCGGGGGCGCATCCGCTTTGTAAACAATACACTTACTGTACAGGCAGAAATGCAACACAGCCAAACTATTAGACTCAAGTACATCTGATCTCTCAAGTTTGAAGCCCACGGGCAACATCCCACCTTACCTTCCTCGCGTGCTCGTGATGCCACGCCACGTCGTCCTCCTCTGACGCTTCATCCACCAGAACTTTGCTCTTGCTCTTCTTGAACATTATACACGCAGGGAGTTCAGCTGTATCTCAGAAGCACGGTATTTTCCAAGCCCATGGGATGCGAGTGAAGACTCGAGGAGATCGCGAGGAGGCAGCGGTTAAATCAGAACAATAACCCGTCTGTGATCGCGCCCTGCCCTTCGCGATACCCCACACGCACACTTTCCTCCGGCCCACTATCTTCTTCTGATGAACGTCTGAGCACACGGTTGGCTGGAGCACCTGGACCGCCGCTCCTCCCATTGTGGATCAGATTGCTGATCAGTTGGTTGTCATGGCAACGTGGGCGTGGCGATGGCCCCCTCGGACCCTCCCACCCGGACAGGGTCTTATCAGGAGCAGTCAGATATGTCTTTAGAGGTTCGGTCAGTGTAGAAGTTTTTCATAAGCAGACTTTAGTGAGCCTGCAAACGTAGACACTTAACCCAGCTTTCAAAAGCTAGGCATAGCATTAAATGATACAATATCAAACCAAGTGGCAAAAGCTCACTCTTTAAGTAAAAAATAAAAACATTTATTAAAATTAATTTCAAAAATTGCAATGATTTTTTTTTAGTAGCCACAGGTTGGTTTGATACTTTGCAATAGTGCACTGAATGCATTCATTTAAAGTGTGGCAAATACTTTTATAGGGCACTTTGTATAAATATTTCTTATGGGCCACACACACACACAAACACACACACACACACACACACACACACACACACACATATATATACATATATATATATATATATATATACAAATATACTGTATATATATATATATATATATATACCTTCAACATTTCTCACATTATTACAGTTTATTCGCCTATAGTTTAGAAAATGGTAATAAAATACGCCAAGAACTCAGATTTACACTGTGTCAGAACAAATTCATCTTGATAATGTCAGATAACTTTGATAGAAATGTATGTAATGAATTAGGCAATGTAAGGTTATGTAGGTTATGTAATTAGGTTATGTAATGAACATAATTCTAATGAATTATTGTATAGCTGTCAGCTGTTAAATTTAAGAATGCAATTAGATAATACCAATTTAGGTCAACCAATTACCAAGCAATGCTTAATTTTGTTCAGTCTGTGGTGTAAAAAAGTCGCATTAGCAATTAAAGAAAAACACTTAAGCAAAATATAGTCAGGTCAAAGTCTCTCAATAATTTTTGTCCCACTTTTTTTTCAATTTTACTGGTAGTCCACTGTATGAAGAATTTTTGGGTATAATATGTCACAGTTAACGTTATTTTGCTATCCTCACTTATATAAATGAACAATAGTGTCCTGCACCCATAATAAAAAAAATATGAAAAATGATGTCTGGTGTCTGAATAATTTTTGGCTTGACTGTATGTCAAAATTACAAATTGATTAGAATTAGAAATTACACAATAAAATACTGTATTCAAGTGACATTAAGATTGACTTTTCTTTGTTGTGTCTCATATTTCATCTCAAGCACTTCACTGACATTGTTAATCAAGTACAACATTTTTCATTAAATATTATTAGGGGTCAAATTGTTAATCGTGGTGGAAACATGTGAGGGATGGTTGTGATTTGGGATTTAATCCACTATTACACAAGAGATATTAAAACAAATATTGCACTTTTAATATAACCTCTATTTAACAGAAATAAACTTTTTATAAAAATGGATTCTTTGTACAATAAAAATGCCCAAAATTGAACAAATATCCATAAATGTTTTGAGTATAGATACTTTGAATGTGTTCACACTAAATGTGAAGAATACACTATTTGTGCAGCATATCCATGTGACTTCAAAGTAAAGTTTTCCATGTAATAAGTCTGTTTAATCAATAGTCTTGCTTATCAGACATTACTTGGATGTATATGTATGTGCTCATGTGATGTGAATGTTCCCATGCTTTAAATGTAAAGAATATACTCTCTGTTAACTGCTTAAAGAATTTAAACACATGCAGAGCACTTCTAAGGTCTCCTCGGGGTCTTCATTAATGAGATTATGAACTTGAGGGTTATGAAGCTGTTTGAGAAGTTGACCGTTTCCCACTGTGAGTTCTGGCAGATATGAAGAATAGCTTGGAAACAGCAGCTTATGCTATAATATTACAATTTACACACAACAAACAAGTCAGAAAAGCTGACCTTATCTGAGAAAACACAAAAAACTACAGATCAGAAGGGTCATCAGACATCATCTTTATACAGGCATGTTTACAGTAAATACAAAACAGAACCTGTGTTGAGCGCTGGTGTGATAAGAGTCCTGTCTGATTTAGGATGTGCACAGAATTGATCTGCGAGGTGTGAAGGTATTAAACCAAAGATACAGTACATATGCATCTGTATACACTACCGTTCAAAAGTTTGCGGTCAGTAAGATTTTTTTTTTTTTAAATCAATACTTTTATTCAGCAAGAATACATTAAATTTATCAAAAGTTGACTGAAAGACTCTGTCTATTTAATATTTCAAACACGATGCTCTTTTGCTACAAAAATGTATTACAATGTATTTCCACCAAAATTAAGCAGCTCAATCATTTAACATTAATAATATTAATAATAATCAGCTGATTTTTGAAGGATCATGTGACACTGAAGACTGCTGAAAATTCAGCCTTGTCATCAATAAATGACATTTTACAATATGTTACAACAGAACAGTTCAATAGAAAAATAGTTCACAATATTATGGTTTTGTATTTTTAATAAATAATTTAATTGTATGCAGCCATGAGGCGACCATAAGAGACTCTTTGAATTTTTTTCCAGTCAGTGAACAGTCACTCATTTTATTTTCAGAAATTGAAACAAGATATTCAACAAGACAATTCACTGGCAAATGACTGAATTATTAATATAACAACGATTAGCTACATGTAGGCCTGCAGCTGTATGTAGTTTTAAAGGGGTCCTATTATGCTTTTTCACTTTTTCAACTTTAGTTAGTCTGTAATGTTGCTGTTTGAGCATAAAAAAGATCTGCGAAGTTACAAAGCTTGAAGTCCAATTCAAAAGGAGATATTTTATTTAACAGAAATCACTTTTCAAAAACTACAACGAACGACTCGTTTGGACTACAACGCATATTTTCCGGGATTTGTGATATCACAAATATCGACGAATGGGACGAGACCTGGTTGAGCTGCACTAGAGAAGACAACCAGTGTTATCACTATGTCGGAGACACGCTAGCTTTCGCAAGGCAGATGAATTTAGAGTGGTTACAATCATCCGGGTTTATATCGCGCTCAAATTGATTTGATATTGGCGCAATATTTACACTGAAGCTCGCAGCAGGCGGCTAGTGCGCCGAGTGCTGCCAATCACAACACACACTGGCCCAGCTAACCAATCACAGCACATTTCGTATTTCAGAAGGCGGGCCTTCATTTGAGACAGGAACTATTCGAGCCGTTCATGCCAGACTGCTGAGAGAGGTGTTGTAATAATAAAATATGTGGAAAATAATGTGTTTTTCGAACAACCTAGTATGAGAGCCTGTTCTATACCCCCAAAACAAAATCAAGACTTTGTAAAAGAGCATAATAGGACCCCTTTAATGTATTTTTGCGACTTTGAAGCCGTCTGAGTGAAGTTCACTGTCGTAAATACAGTGGATAGCTGTTCATGTGCATTTGTTGCTGCTGTAAAGCAATCCGCTCTTTTCGCGGAATTGACCCGCTTACCAAATTACCCAGAACATGTTTTGGGAAAGAAACAGAAGCCTTTCGCTTTATTAGAATGCAGTGTACCGTCATAATGATTTTAAAACTGATATTTCAAGGTAAAAAAAAAAACGTACATACAATTCTTTAAGATTAATTTTGACGTCTAAATGTAATGTAGGTCTATGAAACTGCATTTTTTTTTTGAGAGAGAGCGAGAGAGCGAGTCGTGAGAAAAAACGCTCCGTTCACTTATAAATCTTCTTTCCAGCCCACACCCATATCAAGGACGTAAGACAGTCTGATCACACGCTGACTCATCCTGAGGATATTACCCCTATTCTCTCTTTCTGCATACACAGTCACTTATTTACACACATAAGGTGCAAAAGACCAATTATCTTTAATGACCGGCAAGCAAACATAATCAGATTACCTTCGTGAAAGTTGCACTATTAACCCAACACAACAAATCTGTGTGTGCAAACACGAAAGAGATGGTTTGGGCACACATTTATGTAGGTTTGTGTATCCCTTTATTTGCTGCTTGAATGTATGTGGTTGCATGTATAAAGGAGAAGTAATTCCGACAGGTTGATTCTGGTTTGGATTTGCAGAGCTTAGTAGCTAAAGTGGGTCAGTGCATTTGCAACATAGCTACTAAAGACCACATGTGATTGTCTGGAAGATCAGACATTCTTAAACAACTCTTATTTAGTGTTTCTATGTCTTACATAAACACAAATATAAACAGTTTAGTAGGTTGTAATCAGATGCTATTTTTAGAGGTTTTGGTGCAGTGCTGACCCCTACTGCATGACTTTGCCAGTGAATTTGGAGTGTTCATATTTCAGCTATAATTGTGTGCATATACTTTGTGCATACAGTATGTATGCGTTGTTCACTTAAAACTTAAAATAAACAAACTAACCAATAAATAATAAATAAATAAAAAATAAGTTTCGAAATTATAGCTCTATTTTTAATTAGCTTTACATTAAATTAACAGAAATCTATACTGTGTTCATTAAAATGGGTATGTAAACGTGCATAAAGTCTCTTTATGTGCTTGAATATTTTATTTTGTAAATAAATACAGATATATTGCAACATAAGATATACTCTCTTCTTTTAAAAAGAGCATTGAAAATACAATCAATCCTGCCATCAAAGTGCACAAATAGTCACAATCATTATAGGCAATCTCAACAATTTAAAAAATCAGTGCAAATCAGTCAGAGCGTCCACAAAGAATCAAAACAACACAATGTCCCCATTTGGTCAACCGTTTGTTTTCTAAATAAAGGTCTTTGACCTTACATTAACAGCCAACTGTAATTGGATGAGCAGATCAGACCATTTTAAGAACATAAGCTCTTCTTCTTCTTGAGTGTCTGTCTGAGACGTCATGCCATCATTACATAACTCAGCACTCAAGATCACATCAATCCTGTCCCATTCACTAAACCAATGACATTTAGCTGTCGGTGAGACATTCATTACATACGTCAATGGCAAAAACCACAATCATTTTCCATAAATAAACACTTTTATGAGATCGTATTGATCAGATGCCTAGTTAGGAGAGAGTTTCTGATAGGTCAGTGTCCTACATGGACTATTTTGGTGGTTACAAATGTACATCTGCTGTCTGGGTGACACCGAGGTTGGCAAACCAGAATGCCAGACCCAAATTGGAAGAGGAAAGCCAGGTGAGGATTTCTGTACACGCTTGTGAATGGAAAGCTGGAGGCCCATCAAAAAACACTGACCTACTCTCAAAGCTAAAGAATTCATAAATATGTGACCCTGGACCACAAAACCAGTCAGAAGGGTAAATTCTTTTAAAATTGAGATTTACACCTCATCTAAAAGCTGAATAAATAAGCTTTCCATTGATGTATGGTTTGTTAGGATATATTTTTAATTATATAAAGTGTTTTTTTATATATAAAAAAGAATAATTTAAATTGTTTGCTTTAGACAAATGCTCATTGTTTTTTAAGGATGACACCCTGTCCTGTAAATAGTGACTCATAGCTATGAAGGTGACCTGCTGAAATTTCTCTCTTCATTAGAGCAATATGTCTTTTAAAAGAAGATCAGTAATCACTGAAGTCATACTTCTGCATAATGTCTGCGACGTGACAGCTTTGGCTGGTTTGCATTTACTGTGGAGCCTGTGGTGGTCTATAGGAACTTTAGGTGCACAGACAGTTATTTTTGGGATTGCAAATTGGGATTATATCAAAAATATAATCCAGTGCTAAGTGGACCCCTGTCCCAAATGGTGAATTGAAGTAGCCTTTGAGACATCCTTGAGCTCCACAAGGCCATATAATATCCCCTTTGTCATTTTATGATTCAGAAGGATGCTAACTAATTAAGACTAACTAATTAAAAAGTAAAAGCATTTAATTCACTCCATTGTTGCCAGAGAACAAGTTTGGGAGAGCTTGGTTGAGGATCTGCTATCCTCGCACCCAAAGCAAGACTATGAGCTTCAGCATGATGTGGTAAAAAACTATAATGATGATATTTGGGTTGTTCAGTCTGTTTAAGAAAGAACGCACCTCTAAACAAAAGCGATGCGCTTTCTCTCTGTTTCCTGCATTGTGTTTCACCGCAGGAGATGTGGCAATGGCTTGTGGTATAAGGTCAGCTGGCAAGAGCTGTATCCTGACATGCCAATACCCACAAGGCCCAGCAGCATGGCAAAGCGGGGTACAACGGGCCCCTCCCTCTGCAGACCGGTCCGTGCTGCCTGAGTCTAAAAGCAAAAGGTCAAAGGTCAGTGTTCATGGCTCTTCTATGAGCATGAGATGAGAGAAGATCCATCCAGGAAGTACAGTTCTCAGAAACACTTTGTACATCAGACAAGTTTGAGAAGTATTACTGAATTTCCTAGATCAAGATTAAGACTGGTAAGAAGCTTATCAAGATAAACAAACATACATATATACATATATAAGCAGTTTCTATTAATACGATGTACAGTGTTTGCATACAATCGAGTGTTTCTTATAGTCAACTACTATATATAGTGCTTCTACCTTGGATTTTCCCTCAAAAAGGAAAGAATCATTTTATATCATGTAAAAACATCATTAATGGAAACAAACACCAAAATGCCAAAGGTGATTAATTGCAGCGGAATCTGTTTCCAAAAATAGCTACAAAGAGAGTTTTAGAGATATGGAGCAAGCGTCTCATGTCATTGGGCTTGGTATCCAGTTTCCTGTGGATACCGTGATTCTGATCCCAAAGAGGCTTTCAAATCCCACAGGTAAACAACTGGAAGAATATTATCAGAATATTGCAAATATTGTTATTTCAGTGGTTTTTGTTTTTATTGATTTTAAATCAAAACATTTGAAATGTAAATTAATTTGCTTTATAAATTAATAAAAGTAAAAATTAATAAATAGTCTTTTTGGTTTAATTTGCTCTGATCTGTACCTGCTTACTGTGATTTATTTATGCCCTATATATCTTACATGCTCAGTCATTTTGATTTTTTGATGTTTACTTGCATATCAAACTTCAACCATTACAAAGAATACAACGCATACATGCTGGATGTTTGTTTGGGGTCTAAGAGGTGCAAGGCCCTTTTAATATAAAAAAAAATCATTGAAGAACATTGAAATTCCCTTTTAAGAGAATTGATTATAACAAAAGCATTTTTAGATTGTCAGACTCCATAGAAAATGTTGCTTGGAGTCCTAGAATCCCCATAAAACATGAATCAAAACAATGAATTTTTGCATGCCGAGACTCTCTGATTTGTGTACACACTGTAAAATTGCTCCTGCTAGTCATATACATTTGTTTAATTGTGTTATTCTACAAAAATATTTACTTTAGAGTATGTTTTCTACAGACAGAGGTAATGTCACTGTTCTTAATAACAACTATCTTTCTGATATATTTAATGGATAAAAAATATATACACATGCATATACACATACAAGTCAAACCATAAGTAATTTATAAGCGGTTTTGGACTAGCATTATTATATTTACACAAACAGTAATCACCAGGAAATCCAACATAAAGAAAGTAAGTGACTTTCCACAGTTTGGAGAAGGCTCATTTATTTTGCTCAGTTAGAAACTGGACACTCACCTGCAGGTATCGAATGTATCCAGGCGTCAGGAGAGGAATGCGGAAGAACATCTCAGCCGCCAAAAGACCAAAAAGGTCCCGTCCACACACACTCACCAGACGGATCTGCCACTGCTCTTCAGACACTTGCAGACTTATAAAGCTTTGGGTGCTTATATAACTGGTCACATGTCTACATGAAATCCTGTCTATCTTTTTGTGAAGGGACAGTGTGTGTGTGTGCCCGATGCTCGGAAAAAAACTGGAACGTTTATGGAATAGGCCTACAGGGCAGATATTTAAGTTCAATTTATTGGTTTGGCCTACATAAATTGCAATTAATAAATTGCATAAAATGCCTCTGTTACTGTACTTGAGCCAACTGAGCTAACAAAAATATGTCATAAGAATATTTTGCTAATGTTCCCGTTAAGTTTTGTAAACATTATTTCTCAATGTTGTCTGAGTCTGAGAGTTCAAAATGTCGATTATTAAACATTTTACAAATTTTTTTCTTGGTTATGCAAATGTTAGAGAAACATAGGCAAAGTTCGATTTTATAATTTTTCAAACGGAATGTTACTTTTGAATGTTCTCTTAACATTCTGAAACATGCATAGTGTCACGAATCCTGTCCATGGACTTCCGTTCAATCACCACCAGAGGTCACCCTTCCATTACATTGACTCTCGCACTACACAAACTGTTGCATGTCATCCCGGACTACATATCCCATCATCCATTGCACTGATTGCACACAGCACTGATTGCACACAGCTGTAACCAATCACACATTTAGTCAAGTCACAGCTGATCTTCCTGAGTCCAGTCAAGTCACAGCTGATCTTCATGAACCAAGTCAAGTCACAGTTAATCTTCATGAGGCAAGTCAAGTCACAGCTGATATTCCTGAATCAAGTCTAGTCACAGCTGATCTTCATGAGGCAAGCCAAGTCACAGCTGATCTTCATGAGGCAAGTCAAGTCACAGTTGATCGTCATGAGGCAAGTCAAGTCACAACTG